CTGACCTCGAGGTTAAGGTCACCGGGAGTGAATGGTAAATTGACTGGTTCTTATTTAGCGCTTTTCTACTCTATCTGAGCACTCAAAGTACTTTATACAACTTGTACATTCACCCAAGCACTTTTTTCTAAGCTGTTTCTTAGTGCTTACTATCTAACATTCACACGCATTCATACTCCAATGGATGCATCGGAGAGCAGCATGGGGTTAGTATCTTGACCAACGACATTTGGCATGCAGACTGGGATTGAACCGCAAATTTTCCGGTTTGTAGGTGACCTGCTCTACCACCGGAGCTACAGCCACCCAGAGTCAAACTTGTCCAAGGTATTTAGTAGATCCACCGATGTTATCAATTCAAAAATCCGAGGTAACTTCCTTTTTATTTATCACATTCACAACATTTTCACTGAGATTCAAACCTGTCTAAGATTTTTAGATACCTAAATGGCATCAATTTGAAGCAGAAAATATTTTTTCTCATGGGATCAGTTTCTTGATTATTAATACGCAATTATCATGACCATCAACGACTAGGGATGGACCGATCCGATATTACGTATTGGTCCGATACTGACCTAAATTACTGGATTGGATATCGGAGAGAAATAAAAAAAATGTAATCACATCCATTAAATATCACAAAAGCACCTCACAAAACTAGAGACATGGCATAACTCAGCTCATAACCTTACGGAGCAGTATGCGTCACGTGATAGAGTGGCTGTGGTGTGCGAGACCTCTCAGTGGTCTGGTTGAGCATTTGGAGCCTCGCTACCAAACCGGCATTTCATCTCTGAGAAAGTTATCCCAGAGAGAAGTAAAGCAAGTGTGTAAGTTCATCTCTGAATGTTTGTAAAGCATTCCCACGTTAAGTTTAACAACCGATATATGGAACGACTGCCTCTTCTCTCTCCCTTCCTCTCCTGTTGCTACTTCAATCATGAAACTGATCAATGATCAGCTGATCAGCTTTTCTTTCGCGACTCCCGTCTCTCTTGTTTGTTTTTGGCCCACTTTGCACCAGAAAGAGGAAACCAGGGGCTGAACAACAGCAGCACGTTTAAGCTTGATAAGCTGTTGTTAGAATTTTATTTAATATTACTTTCTACAACAGGATCCTTTTCTACGCAGCTGACGGCTGGTAACTGTGCAGGGGCGGGTCTAGCAAGGTTTTGCCATGGGGGCAGGCAGGGCATTAACAGGGAAAGAGGGGTACAAAGAATTACTTTTCTTTCTTATTCTCATTTAAAATGTCTCATTTTTAATAATTATTTGAATCTTACACCCAAAGTTTTAATCTGATGTAAAATGTACAGAAGTCCATTACTGTATACAGTAACAATTAAGTCTAATATATACCCTAGTAAGCTATAGTACTTTTTCCTTTGGTAGGGTATCATCTGTGCAGTCTGCAATTCTGTTGAAGAAAAATGTTGAATCTATTAAATTATTGTAAAAAAAATAATTGATTTCTGTGTTTTTTTTGTTTGTTTGGTTTTTTTTACATGTGCATTAAAGTTAATTTCATTGCGTCAATTAAGCAAGTATGGGGTGATTCCCTGTACTTGCCAACCTTGAGAACTCAGAATTAGGGAGACATCCAATGGGTGTGTGTGTGTGTGTGTGTGTGTGTGTGTGTGTGTGTGTATATATGTATATATATAAATATATATATACACACATACATATAGTTTTATATATGTTAGGATGCCTGGGTCGTTGACCCAGGGTTTTTGAGTTTATTATATTATTTATAATTTCTAGTCTTTGGGTTTT